GATGTTAGCTCAGGGCTGATCTTCCTCAAAAAATAAAAAACAAAACAAAACAAAACAAAATATTGGTGAATACTTCCTAAAGCAATCTACAGATTCAATGCAATTCCTATCAAAGTCCCAAGGACCTTTTTCGTGGAAATAGAACAAAGAATCCTAAAATGTATATGGAACAAGAAAAGACCCCGAATTGCCAAAGGAGTCCTGAGAAAAAAGAACAAAGCTGGAGGTATCACGCTCCCTGAATTCAAAATATACTACAAAGCTATAGTGATCCAAGCAGCACGATACTGGCACAAAAACAGACACACAGATCAATGGAACAGAATCAAGAGCCCAGAAACAAACCCACATGTCTATAGACAGCTAATTTTTAACAAGGGAGCCAAGGACATACAATGGAGAAAGGAAAGTCTCTTCAATAAATGGTGCTGGGAAAACTGGACAGCCACACACAAAAGAATGAAAGGAGACCATTACCTTACACTATACACAAAAATTAACTAAAAATGGATTAAAGACTTGAATGTAAGACCTGAAACCATAAAACTCCTAGAAGAAAGCATACGCAATACGATCTTTGACACCCGTCTTAGCAGTATCTTTTTGATACCATGTCGGAACAGGCAAGGGAAGCAAAAGAATAAATAAACAAATAGAACTACATCAAACTAAAAAGCTTCTGCACAGCAAAGGAAATCATCAACAAAATAAAAAGGCAGCCTAATAATTTGGAGAAGACATTTTCAAATCATATATCTAATAAGGGGTTAATATCCAAAATATATCAAGAACTCATACAACTCAACACCAAAAAACAAACAACCCCATTAAAAAATGGGCAAGGATCTGAACAGACATTTTTTCAAGGAAGATATATAGATAGCCAACAGACACATGAAAAGATGTTCAACATATCTAATTGCTAGGGAAATGCAAATGAAAACCACAATGAGAGGGCCAGCTCTGATGATCTAGTGGTTAAAGTTCCTCTCTCTCCACTTCAGCGGCCCGGGTTCACTTCCCAGTCTCAGAACCACACCACCCGTCAGTTGCCATGCTGTGGCAGCAGCTCACGTGGAAGAACAAGAAAGACTTACAACTAGATATACAACCATGCACTGGGGCTTTGGGGAGAAGAAAAAAAAAGGAGGATTGGCAACAGATGTTAGGTCAGGACGAATCCTTCCCTGCAAAAAAAAAAAAGCTACAATGAGATACCATCTCACACCCATCAGAATGGCTATTATTAAAAAGACAAGAGGGGATGGCCTGGTGGCCTAGTGGTTGAGTTCACACGCTCCACTTCGGTGGCCTGGAGTTCGTGGGTTCGGATCCCGGGCGTGGACCTACACACTGCTTATCAAGCAGTGCTGTGGCAGAGGTCCCACATATAAAGTAGGAGAAGGCACGGATGTTGGCCCAGGGCCAATCTTCCTCAGCAAGGAAAGTAGGATTGGCAAAAGATGTTAGCTCAGGGCTAATTTTCCTCACCAAAAAGAAAAAAAAAAAAAGACAAAAAATAACAAGTGTTGGAGAAGACGTGGAGAAAAAAGAACCCTCATACACTGCTGATGGGAGTGTAAACTGGTGCAGACACTATGGAAAACAGTATGGAGATTCCTCAAAAAATTAAGAATAGAAGGATCCAGCTATTCCACTGCTGGGTATTAACCACTAAGTTGAAAAGATATATGCACCTCTATGTCCACTGCAGCATTATTCACAATTGCCAAGATTTGGAAACAACCTAAGTGCTCATCAACAGATGAATGGATGAAGAAGATGTGGTATATATACACAATGGAATACTACTCAACCATAAAAAAGATGATATCTTGCCATTTGTGACAACATAGAAGGACCTTGAGGGTATTACGCTAAGTGAAATGTCAGACAGAGAAAGTCAAATACCATATGATTTCACTCATAAGTGGAAGATAAAAACAACAACAACAACAAACAAACACATAGATACAGAGATTAGATTGATGGTTACCAGAGGGGAAGAGAGGAGGGAGGAGGGCAAAAGGGGTAAAAGGGCATGTGTGTGTGGTGATGGATGGTAATTAGTCTTTGGGTGGTGAACATGATGTAGTCTACACGGAAATGGAAATATAATGATGTACACCTGAAATTTATATAATGTTATAAACCAATGTCACCTCAATAAAAATAAAAAATAAAAGAACATTGGTGAATATAGCGGCTCATTGACTAAACTGATGAATGTTAAACATGGTCTCTCATTGATGAAATTAAAAGTATTGTTATTCAAGATATATGGATTGCCTAAAATAGTTTAAAATCACTCCCCACCCACACAGCACAGGACAGAGGAATCCAGCAAAGCTTGTAACCTGCCCCTGAGGCATGATCTTTAATGGACTAGTTTTTAGCCATTGATTTAGGAGATTTCTGGTTATTTGATGTTGCCCATAAATAAGGCAAGGAATCTGGTCTCTAGGATGTGAGTCGGCCTCTGGTGAAAGGCTTCGTTGGGTCTCCTAAGAAGGCCGAGAGCCAGGATTTGAGACTTCATTGAACTTATAGAATAGGTTGTCTGAGCTGTTTCTTGTCTGCTCACTGGGAATGTTGGTTTAATAAATATCTTTATGTTTAGCAGAATTTAGTCTGAGACTGGCTTTCCTTACAACGTGATAACAGGATTGTGGGAGAGCAGTTAACACCCACCCCAAACTTTTTTTTTTTTAATTTTTATTTATTTTATTTTTTTCCCCCCAAAGCCCCAGTAGATAGTTGTATGTCGTAGTTGCACATCCTTCTAGTTGCTGTATGTGGGACGCGGCCTCATCGTGGCCGGAGAAGCGGTGTGTCGGTGCGCGCCTGGGATCCGAACCTGGGCCGCCAGCAGTGGAGTTCGCGCACTTAGCCGCTAGGCCATGGGGCCGGCCCCTCGTTCTGAATTCTTTGTCAGGCAGCCAGCCGGACACCGGAAAAGGGAAGATGGACGGCAGGGCTCTTCCAGCTGTGGCCGTGACTGTAATCTGCCTTGGGTCACTAGTGAGATGCTGAGACTTCATTCCTGGGGTGGGGGGCAGGTGTTCCCTGGTGAGCATCAAGGGTACCTGCTGCTTTGCTGCCAGGGGTGGGCACAGCCTAGGAGGTATTCCATCCTCCGCCCCTACCTCAGTGGTGGGGAGACTTGAGAGGTGCCTGGTGGGCATAGCCCCCAAACTTTGCCCCTTGCAGGTGAAGTGCCTTTTGAGTGGCACCCAGCTGACAGCTTGTATTACACATGCACATTATGCCAAAGTGCGTCCTTAGAGAGCTGCTATGCAGCATAGAGCCTGTAGTTAACAATGTGGCATTGTGCTCTTTAAAAGTTATTAAGAGGGTGGATCTCACGTTAAGTGTTCTTACCAAAAAACTGCAAAAACCAAAAACCAGAAGGGCACAAAGAAACTTGGGGAGGTGATGGATGTGTTGACTATCTTGATTGTGGTGATGCCACATCACCACATGATGCCATCATCATGGGTTTTCATGCATGCACACAGTCAGCAAATTGTATACATTAAATACGTGCAGTTTTTTGTATATTAATGACACCTCAACAAAGCTGTGAAAACAAATAGTGCTTCCTCATTTGGAAGCACTTAAATGAAAAAGTCTAATTGCCTTCAAAATCCACTCTCATTAACATGAGAATTTTCAACATTGTGTTTGTAAATGAAAGAAAAGGGAGAGCTATTAGAGTCTTTAAATTTAATGTAAAGTGTGGTAAATTTTAGTGTGTAAAATGATTGTCTACATTTTTTATTACCTACTCAGGCAAAGTTTCTTGTGGATGGAGACTATTAAGAATTTTAAATCTTTCTTTGGTGTGTATGTGAAATATGTCACATATGAAGTGCTCAAAACAGAAGTGACAGCAAAGCAAAGCCAGTCACCATCACCAGGTCAGGAAGGGTGGCGCCCAGTGACATATTCAAAGGGGTCCATCAATCTCCATTTCAAACATAAAATCTGATGTAGAAAAGGCTGCTTTTGCAGAACCAAATCAAATTGTTTAGTAGGGATGTTTAAAAGATTTTGATACCTTTATTTAAAAACAATATTTTCCCTAACACTTTGTTTTTTCCCACTAGGCCTCTACAGATGCCTGGAATCCCTGCCAGGGCCTCCCTGGCCCTACACACGCATGCCAAAGGCCGGTCTCGGGTCTCAGGAGCCCACAGCCTGGCAGGGTCACAGGCACACCCCGGGGTCAGCAGCCGCGAGGAGGTCAGAATAGAGTCCATCCCGGCGGGGGCGGACCATGTTTACATGATTCTTCTCAACTCGGCTGATGTAACAGCTACTCGCATCAGCCTTCCTTAGGGAGAGTGACTACACTTGTTTTCACCCTCTGGTTTAAAATGCTGATTTATTTCTTTATTTTCAAGCTTCTTTTTCTTTTCCTTCTTGTATGTTTCACAGAAAACGTCGCAGCCCCTGAAGCCGCCCTGGTGTCTTACCTCCAGGGAACCACGAGTTTTGTCTCCCTTATTCTTTCTTCTGTTTGCTTATTTGTTTTTAGTATTTTTAGTATGTTTTGGAAACATTTCTTTGCAATGAGTGTTTGAAACGCAGCTCCCTCCTCCCCCCGCTCCCTGCGGGCACCTCCCACGCCCAGACCTCGCGACCGGTGGGTGCCACTCCCGGCCATGGGGACACATGGATGTCACCCGGGGTCGTTCGGCTCCCCCCCTCCCCCCCAGCCTGTCCCAGGCCGCGAGCGCCTCCAGTTGGGGCACTTCTGGGGGAGGAGAAAGGAACCGCCCCATAGGTCGCGAAACTTTTTCCCGCTGCCGTTCCCCCGGGGACAGCAGAGTCCCCGGGCTCCCCCGGAGCGGACGCGGGCGGCAAGGTCAGAGTTGATCTGAGGGTCCACGCCCGGTCCCGAGGGACAGTCAGCCTCCAGTCTGGAGCGCCGGGGAGCGGGTCGAGGTCCCCGGGACGCGCAGACACCTGCGGCCTCTGGCCGGGCGGGCGGTCCCAGAGCCCTGGCGCCTCCTTAAAGCCGCGGCTCCGCCCCGCCCGCCCCTCTCCCCCGCCCGCGGTTCCACCCAACCGCCAGGTCCCAGGCGCCTGGGCAGAGTGTCGCAGAGCCGCGAGCCTGCGAGGAGTACGCCGTCCGCTCAGTCCCCGCGCCGGGTCCCGTGTTCCCGCGTCCCCAGATCTGCCGCCATGGCCAGCGAGGAGCTGGCGCGCAAGCTGCAGCGGCGACTGCAGCGGGAGGAGGCGGAGGAGGGCGGCCCCCAGCCCGCGCCCGGCGCCGCCACAGCCCCGGAGCCGGAGCCCGAGCCCCCCGCCCGGGCTCCCACGGCCAGCGCCGACGCCGAGCTGAGCGCGCAGCTGAGCCGACGGCTGGACATCAACGAGGGCGCGGCGCGGCCCCGCCGCTGCAAGGTCTTCCACCCCTACACCGAGTTCCCGGAGTTCAGCCGCCGCCTCGTCAAGGACCTGGAGAACATGTTTAAACTGTGAGCGTCCCGCGCAGCCCTGCGCCGTGCGCCCCCGAGGACCCTGCGCCCGGGACCCGGGAGGGAGGGAGCGGCGAGGGGGCGGTGGGTCCCGAGTCCCGGGCCCCGCTTTGGTGGGACAGGGTGGGAGAGTGCAGGGGTTCCGGGGGTACATTTAGCATTTAACCCAACGCCTCCAGATCCTGCGCGCCGCGAGTCTATCCCGGCGCGACTGGGGGACCCGGCCCGGCTGCGAAACCGAGAGCAGGAGCCGCAGCTCTCCCTGACCGAGCTCGGAAGTTCCCCTGGGGTAGCCGAGCCCGGGTCCCAGGTCCCGATGGCCGGCCCCGCCCCCTCCGGCGGCTTGTTCCGAGATTTGTCCCGAGCACAACTTCTAGGAAACTGAGACGTGCTGCGCCTCACCTGCCAGCTTTATCTCCCAAGGGAGAAATTAACCCCCTTGTCCTTTTATCTTTTAAAACAAAAGAGGAAAGTTATCCTTGGCTACTGCGCGGGGTCTGATGAACCAACAAAGGCTGAGTACTGGAAGTTCGTTAAACTCGTAGCGAAAGATCAGGACGTTCCTGGAGCGAGCGCGTCCGGGGTGCCTCCTGGGGGTGTCACCTTGTCTATTTTCTCCCTTCTCGCCTTTGGGCAAGAGGGGCCCGTCGGAACCGGACGTGGCAGCGGGCAGCCGGTCCCGCGGGGGCTCATTCCTGTCCTGCTGTGTAAGCCCCACCGGGCGGGGGAGCTGCAGGTGCGCCCCAAGCCCGGGCGATGGAGGCAGCCTAGAGAGCCCCCACTAGTCGGCCTTGCAGCCTGGAAACTCCCTGGGCCTCAGTTTCCTCCTCTGGAGAGTGGGGGCAGTAATCGTCCCTGCCTTTTAAGGCCATAAAGTATTTTGCACACCGCAAGCTCCTAACCGAGCTATTAATATTATTTCCAGAATTGGGCCAAGACCGGAAAAACGCCTGGGGGAGCGGAGGCCGCCCGGCCAGGTCATGCTTGGGGCGTTTTAAAAAGCGCTTGGAATGTGTCTGTCCTCCCGCATGGAGGTTCTATTTAAAGGCGCTGTGGCCGGCGCTCTGTGGCCGGAGCCTCGGCCCCTTCCTGAGGCTGGGCTGTTGTCCAGCCACAGCCCCTGCGAAGAGGTCGCCAGAGCCTGGCTCCCGGAGCCTCCGCGCCTCCTCGGCTTCCTGCCGGTCCCTGGCTTCCAGGCGCTGTTCTCTGGTGCTCACGCCTGGTGGGTCTAGGTCGGGAAATTAACGAAGGCTGAGTTGGGGCGAGAGATAGGAGGCACCGGGCGGGAGACGGTGAATGGTTTGACAGAGCCCCTTTGATTGGGGTTGTGCCTTTCAGGGGAAGACTGCTTTGGCACAGCTGCTTCCAGGTCCCAGCAGTTCCTCCCCAGTCCAGCTGGCTTCAGGGAGGGCATCTTGGGGACCTTCATCTTCTGGTGGCTTTGCGGTGACTTGGGTTTCTTTTATTTATTTATTTTTATTACTATTATTTTTTTCTGCAGAACAATCTTTGAAAGGATAAGTTTGTTTGTTAGTTGGCTGCCTAAGAGTAATAAAGGGAGTCCACAGAGTCAGAGGGTCTTGGGAAACCAAGCAAGGTGGCATCCGTGAGGAAACAGGTAGTGCAACAGAGTCAAACTAAAAGGAAGGCATGTGTGGTCTGGGATCCCACCAGAGCTGGCAGTGCAGCCTGTGTGTGGTACTTCTTTCTCCAGAACTGCTGTGTCCGTCAGAATTTTAGGTTGGGTTTTCTGTCACTTTCAACCAAAATTGGCATAAACAAAAAGGGGATTAATGGGCTCGTAAAACTAAAAAGGACTGGTGTCAGGTGTGGCTGGATCTAGGAGCTCAGATGATGCCATCAGTACTTCATTTCTCTTTTTCTTAAGCCAGTTTCTTCTCTGTATTGTCCCGAGTCTCAGGCGGCTTATCCCTGGTGTTGGCAGTGTGGCCACAGGAGCTCCAGTAAGTCCAGTGGGAAAGAGTAACCACAGCAAAGGCCTCATTGTGTGTATGTGTGTGTGTGTCTCTCTCTTTTTTTATAGCGTTACTATTGTTTCTTACTGGCTCTGAACCAATTACTGTGGCAGGGGAATTCTCGTTCTGGTTGGCCAGGCCTGAGCCACGTGCCCCATCCCGGCAGTGGGAGTGCAGCCCTGCCCCTAGCAGGGGACAGCAGTGGGGAAGAATGGCTTTCACGGGCACATCTAGGGGCTCTTAGTGAGGAAGGAGGGACTCGTGCTGGTGGCTGTGAACGACCTTCACACTCCATCCTGGACCTGACTGTGGTCCAGCTCGGACCTGCTGCTTTGTTGACCTTCAGCCATTAGTGTCCTGAGGCAGGACTGGCAGCTCCCGTCACCAGGGCGTGGGATCTGAGGTACAGGCTGTTGCAAAGAAACCTTCCTGGGGATTGTCCCCCATGTCCTTGGAGGCACCAGCGTGACAGGGGGAACAGTGTTGCCTTTGCAGCCAGAGAGGCATAGGGTCAGACAGGGCCTAAGCTATATAACCCCACTAAGACTTAGTTTTCTTGCTGGTGAAACAGGCACACATACCACCTTCCCACAAGGGCCAGGGAGCTGCTGCGGCTGCCAGGGGCAGGGGCCACTAGGAGAATGCTGCCTTTCTTCCCCCACAGTGGTTTGGAAAAGCCCCCTCTTAAACCTGGCGTCAAGACCCAATTATCTGTCATGAGTTTGGGGACGGTGGGGACATAGCGCCCTCATTCTAGAATCATTAGCTGTGATCACAGGCAAGTTTCTTAACCACTTGTGTCTTTTCATCTGTAAAATGGGGCCATAGTTCCTTTCGTGGGGTTTTGGGAGAACTGAGTGAGATGAATGGGGGGGGTGAGTTGGTGTGCGACATAGAACGGGGCCTTTTGCTGAAGACCATCCCCCCACTTTGGCTCCAGGCCCTGTGTCCATCCACAACCCTCCCCACCCTGCCCCCCTTCAGGCTACACTCACCCTATAAAGACAGGGACTCCTCGGCCCCGCCCCCCGAGCTTCCACCGACTCAGCACCTTTCAGCTGAGCCTACTGGCTTTGCCCTCAGGTGCTTCTGCCCGTTTCCTCCACCTGGGAGGCAGCTGAAACTCCGCTCTCCCTACCCGCCAGAGTCAGGGGCTCCCCAGTCTGGGAGATTTTGTCACCTGGACACCCTGACGCAGCTCAGGTTTTCATCCTCATCCACCCTCGGTGCCCGGCACATGCAGTGACTCTAGCTGATGGACAAACTCTCATTCTTTTTTTTTTGTGAGGAAGGTCAGCCCTGAGCTAACATCCGTGCTAATCCTCCTCTTTTTGCTGAGGAAGACCGGCTCTGAGCTAACATCTATGGCCAATCCTCCTCTTTTTTTTCCCCAAAGCCCCACTAGATAGTTGTATGTCATAGTTGCACAGCCTTCTAGTTGCTGTATGTGGGACGCGGCCTCAGCATGGCCAGAGAAGCGGTGCACCAGTGCGCACCCGGGAACCAAACCCAGGTGGCCAGCAGTGGAGCACTTGCACTTAACCGCTAAGCCACGGGGCCGGCCCCAAACTCTTGTTCTTATGAGGGGGCCTTGATGTGTCTGCAGTTACTAGGTCAGCCCAGCCCCTTTGCCACCCCCTGGGCTACCTGCCTTCCAGCAACTTCGAGCTCATTCTGGGCAGCCGGCTGGCTCTGGGACCTCCTCTGCCGGAGCTGTCAGCCCCGGGGGGCCACCTGCACCCTGCTGCCTGGCCTAGTCTGGGGCAGAACGTGGGCCCCCCTCCCACCCGGAAGGCTGCTGTGAGGCTTGGCATTTGGGGATTTGCCACCTGTCGTGGCCTGGCAGTGCCGCCTGTCCTGTAGCTAGCCCTCCGCAGCCTGCTGATGAGCTCCTTGGTCCCGGCTTAACTCACAGCCCAGCCCAGATTCCCGACTGGCCCTCTTTCATGTTTTCCTCTCCCTGCTGTCCTGCATGACTGTTTTTTAGCTGCATGACTCAAAAAAAAAAATTAAAAACTGCATCTAGGTAGGTCCTCTTGAAAACCGAATTGCTCACTGCCCCTTCCCCACACCCACTCTTGCATTGACCCTTACCTGCAGCTGCCTTGACCATTTGCTGAGGACTGGGCAAGGAAACCCCTTTGTGGGGGCCTCCTGGGCTCCTATGCTGCCCGCAGGAACCCCACACATGTCAACCCCTCCTCGACTCTTCTCCCTGCCCCATGAGTGGGTCAGCTGTGGCAACACCCCGTCCAGCCAGCAGCTGGTCATTACCACACTTCTGTCCCAGTTGAAGCATGGTCTCTTCCTCCCTTTTTCTTTTTCCTTGGTTTCTATGCTTAAGTAAGTAAAAAATGCAAACATGTTAAAAATCCCAAAGAACATATGACCCACTGACTTCTTTTCCATGGAATGACTTTCCACATTTTATCCACTGCAGAAGCGGTGTCGTGAGGCTGTTAAGAGCATGACCTTGGGAGCCCTGCTTCCTGGGTTCAGACTCTGACTCTACCGCTTGCTACCTGGAAGGTGACTTTAGGCAGGTTATGGAAAAGCCCTGTGCCTCAGTCTCCCCTTCTGTCAAGCGGGGCTAGAATACTACCTGCCTTGTGGGATTATTGTGGGAATTAAATAAAGATATGTGAAGCAGTTAGTTCGACGCTTGGCACATGGTGAGGGCCCAGTAGGTTTGAGTCACTATTTTTCAGATTATCACATAGCTGTAATTTTGGTGGATGTGCAAATTTTTTGTCATTTTTTGTTTAATAATTCACAAACACTTTGCAATGTCTGGTTTATCCTTTGAAGTCAATTTCACCTGCAATTTGAGCTGTGGAGTGGCGACCTGGCTGCTTGGTGAGTAACCAGTCCCCCTGGGACTGTGCCCTGCCTGGTGTGCACCCTTCCGGGTTCTGTTGAAGGGATTTACTCGCTCCACTGCTGGGTGAGCGGATGAGTGTGCTAGGGCTGCTGTAACAAAATACCACAAACTGGGTGGCTTAAAACAACAGAAATTTATTCTCT